AGAACACAGGACCCACTTCTTCTACCTGCTCCAGGCTGTGAACTCTCACTGCTTCGCTGCATTCCTTGCCATCCCCCCAGCACAGTTCAAGCTGGTGCTGGACTCCATCATCTGGGCCTTCAAACACACCATGAGGAACGTGGCCGACACTGGTACGGCTGCAAGGACCACACACACACACACACACACACATGTACGTGGACTGGACGTGACGTTGTCACTAAAGTCTCGTGGTCGTTCCTCCAGTGGAGTTCTCTAATCTTGACCCCTCTCTCTCTCTTCTGTCCTCCTCCTCCTCCTCCTCGTCGTCGTCGTTCAGGTTTGCAGATCCTCTACACGATGCTTCAGAACGTGGCCCAGGAGGAAGCAGCAGCTCAGAGCTTCTACCAGACGTACTTCTGTGACATCCTGCAGCACATCTTCTCAGTGGTCACAGACACGTCGCACACCGCCGGTCAGACTTGGTCCACAGCGCCTCCTGTAGTTTAGTTTGGCTGTTTGGTGGTTTGAACATGTGTGTGTGTGTGTGTGTGTGTGTGTGTTTCCAGGCCTGACCATGCACGCCTCCATCCTGGCCTACATGTTCAACCTGGTGGAGGAGGGAAAGATCACTGCAACCTTGAACCCTACAAATCCTGCCAACAACCAAGTGTTCATCCAGGAGTACGTGGCCAACCTGCTGAAGACGGCCTTCCCTCACCTACAGGAGTGAGTGTCCACACACACACACACACACACACACACACACACACTACATCTGCTTTAAACCAGTGGGAACATTTGTGAGTTTGAAGCAGGAACAGAAACTTCAAGCGTCTGCTTTTAGGACAGGTCTCAGTGTTGATGTGAGAAGCAGCTGCTTCATCTGTCATCAGTCCACAGAGCTGAGCCAATGAAAGAGGAGCTCTTCTAAACAACTCACTTCTAGGAACGAGGGACTTGTTGTTTTTTGTGAAGATGAACTGAACTCTGCCCCTGGTCCAGAAGAAAGACCCATTGTGTCCTTGTGAACACTTCCAGGTACTGGTACTGGTACTGGTACTGGTACTGGTACTGGTACCATCTGGACTGCTGAGGTCATCCGTCCACTCATCAGCTGTGAACCTCTCCAGGAGTTGTAACCAGACATCCAGATACAGTGGGCGGCACTTTTTAATGCCCCGGAGGGAGGGGGGGGGGTCAACTAGAAACTTCTCTCTCTCTCTCTCTCACACACACACACACTCTCTCTCTTAACTCTCTTTGGTCCTGCTCTTCTCCAGTGCTCAGGTGAAGGTCTTTGTGACTGGACTGTTCAGTCTAAACCAGGACATTCCTGCCTTTAAGGAGCATCTGAGGGACTTCCTGGTCCAGATCAAGGTCAGTTCAAACAGTAGAACCTGAGTCCCCCCCCCCCCCCCCCCCTGTGTCAATGAAACCTCCGTTTGTCTGAAACAAAGTTGGTGTAGAGTTATGAAGTGACCTTGTCACATGACAGAAAGTAAGGAGAGTTTTGACACAGAATAACCCTGTGTCAGTATGAAGTGGAGATCAGGAACTGGAACTTGATGATGTGAACCTTTCCTTCTCATCAGGAGTTTGCAGGAGAGGACACCACAGATCTGTTCCTGGAGGAGAGGGAAGCGTCGCTGCGTCAGGCCCAGGAGGAGAAACACAAGATCCAGATGTCTGTGCCGGGAATCCTCAACCCGCATGAGATTCCTGAGGAAATGTGCGACTGAGCGAGTGCGTCTGAAACAAACTGTGTACAGTCGTCCAAACCCACCATCCCACCATCCCGCCCTGATCACCGCAGACACAACTAAAACTCAAAGAGAGGCACTTGAACGCAGCAGGATGCCCGGCTTTGCCCCCCCCCCCATGCCCCCTCTCCGCTGGATGTTCGTTGACCAAAACCACGCCAGTAACGTGTAAATGATCGCCGTCACCCTGTGGCCCCTTTTTACCTAAAGATATCTGCATTTTTTATGGGAAACCTTTTTTCTGTAACACCTTTAACAGAAGCAATGAATCAAAAGCGGTTTCAACGTCTGCTGCATGACCAGGTCGCACCAATTAGGACAGTTTTCACTTATCGTTTCCTCCTTTTCTCTCCATCTATTTGTTTATATAAATATGTATTCAGCCTGAGCAGGGTTACTTGATTTGATTTAGGTTTTTTTTTTTGTTTTTTTTTTTTTTTGTGAGAACAGCATAACGTGTCAATTTGGCGAGACAGACAAGCAGGAAGTGAGTCGTGGCTTCTTCAGTGTCCCACAACAACGTGGGGGAATGTGAATCTGAACCAATGAAGGCTAGGAGATGCTACGAGGCGCGCTAGCATCTGTTGCTTCACCTAAAAAAGTGTTTGGCTTCTGCCGACAGGTTATTGTTATAATTGTTATTTTTTTAGGGACAGCGAACATGTGCATATCATCCCGATTGTATAGCCTCTTTACTACCATGGGAACACTTTTGTTTTTCCTTTTTATTCAGTCTTTTGTTTTGTTTGTGGATGTGGGTGTGTGCGTGCGCGTGTGTGCTGTCGCAGAGTCGACATCAGCGTTTTGTTTTTCCTCTGAGAGGATTGTTGCTCATTTATGAGCCTTCATTAACGGGACGTTTTTAAGGAAGTGGCGGACGTCGTATTTATGGCTTTGTGGTCGGTTGCATCTTTCTATAACAAATCCTGATTAACTCAGACGGCTTTCCAGATTTAGTTTTCTTTTGTGAGTTGTACTAAGTTCTAGATTGTTTACCGTTTTCATGTCGTAGTGCTTCAAGCCACTACATTTAGAGCAAATGATGAATAAAAAGTGGGTTTACATTTAATTTTGTATTTTTGCAGTTTTTTTTTCTTTATTTGTACCTGATCTGAGTTTTGTCAAAGTAAAGACACCAAACTTTTTTTTCTTCAGAGCAAATTAATTGCCAACGAGTTGAATTGGAGAAAAGAATGTAAAAATCCAAATAAGCGCCCTGTCTGACGAGTTTCCCTTATTGAGGTGTTACATTTGTTGTGAACTTTTTGAACTGATTAAAGTTGAGAATTTTATAACCCTGCCTTTGCTTACGATGTTTTCATTTGGCAACAAAGCCACGAACTCTCAGCTCAGTCGACTTTAGGTCGTCATTTATAAGTCAACTTAAATGTTAACCGTTAATGTGAGCTACAAAAGCTGAAGAAGATGCATCTGTGTGGTTTCTCATTGTCAGGTTCTTTTCTTCTTCCTGTATTTGGACTTTTAGTGGCTGAACACCTGAAGGTCGTGTTCAAACAGCAGGTGTCGACGTCCGTCACTGAGCCACTGCCGTCGCCGTCGTGTCAGGGTGAGACACCGAAATAAATCTGAAATACTAACATTTCACAAAAAATGAAAAAGTGAGCTTTTAGAGAACGTACAGCAGTTGAAGAAGTAACATCTGAGTACATTTTCTATTTTCTACCTTTAAAAACTACCTTATATTACAGAGTAATTTAAGACAACTGTCTCCTTAACTCTCTCTCTCTCTCTCTCCCCCCCTCCCCCGTGCCCCCCTCCCTGGTTGCATCAGAGCTGGCAGCCCACTGGGATCATCATAACTGTCACACCACAAAGTTGATGCTGGATTAGTGTCAAGGTCTTATTTCATAGCTGCTAAAGACGTCGGGGCAGAAATGAACACAGATGGTGACCCTACAGAAAAACCAAACTTTTGTCTCAGACTTTTGGAGTCTAAGGTTTATGAACAAAATCCTGATAAAATAAATCAGCAGGTTCACTGACTAGAACAAGACCTCCCATGGACCACCTGACAAACACACAGACTGGGCCAGCGTCGGTCTTTGGACCCTGGACTGAATCCAGGTCCCGTTCTGTCCTCCTGGACCCTGCCTGGTCTGCCCTCTCACCCAGGCTTCCTGACCCAGATCCAGAAATCCTAATGATTTCTCGGAATTTGCTGTTGAGGAGGAGAAGAAATAACAGCTGAGGAAAAGCCCCTGCCCAGAGATCCAGGCACGATGCCCAGCTCAGGGCAGTTATTAATACCCGTGTGGGTGAGGGGAGACCCAGGAGTCAGTACCAGATAAACGCCTGCTCTTTGACCTGGATTTTTCATTTGTGGTAAGCTGGACTTTAAAAAAAGCAGGTCAAACACTGAAATGCCTAAATGTGGCCTGGTCAGAGGTCAGAGGGCCCGGTCAAACCCAGAGTTGATTGTTCAGGTCCCAGTCCCTCGTCTCAGATGAAATCCCGACCCCTAGTGGACATCAAATACTCATTAATGCTTCCGGGAGTTAGTTCAGGTCATGAACCGATCAGTGCCAGATCCTGTCACCAGAGACCGAATAACTGCCCCCTGACCTGGATTTAGATCAACACCTGCCCCGACACCAGAGCCAGTGCACAAACAGGTATTTATTTATTTTTTTTAACTGAAAACAAATAATTATTTATCAGTTTGTATTTTAAACACACGAATCGTGAGTCAATGAAAGCAAAACAACCTCTGGTCATTGAAGTGTTCATTCTTCACCACTTGTGTCTGAAGTTCAACGATGTGTTAGCATTGTATTAGCTTGTTAATAATGCCGTTTGTTTCTCTTTTTTCTTTTACACTTGATCGCGTCAGTTAGTTTTCTATCGTTTCAAATTCTTGTAAGTTTTTCTCAACATGTTTTATTCACTCGTAATTTACAAAAACACATGCAGTTCCTCACCGTAAGTTAGCTCACTTGGCGAGACTGTTTCCCCTTTATTTTAGCTTAGCATTAGCTTAGCTTTTTTTTCAAACTACGTTAGCATTTTTAAGTTGGATAAAACATACGTTAAACTTAAAAAAATAAAAGCTCACAGACGTTTAGCTTCTCTTTAAAATGTGTTAGATTCACTTTGCTATGAATCCTTTTTCTTTTAGCTCTTTAAAATCTTGTGCTTATTTTAGTTTTATTTAATATCTACATTTCTCTAAGTCGAGTGTGGAAACATTTATCTGTTTCACAGGAAGTAGTTTTTTCTTAATTCTAAAGATGATTGCTTTCTAGTTACACTAAATTAAGAGCAACACAAAAAGGGTTTTAAAAATTTATATTAACCCAGAAAATAAACATATCTAAATACGCAAAATGTATGTCGTATTATTCTCATTGATTTAAACATTAATAGTTGATTTTTTTTCCAAATACTTAAGGTGGACACTGATGCTGCTGTTGTCATCAAGATAAACAACACCGTCTTCTGTAACAGGTTAGTATTTAAACTACATCATTTAAACACCCTTTAGCTTACATAGAATCTTGGAGCGCCCTCTGTTGGACAATAGCTGAACTTGAAACGATTTAACTAACAATAGGCCCATAGTGAGCTTTTTTTCTCTTTTTTTCTTTATCGTCCGCACAATGTTTGTCTGTGTTTTTGGCTAATTTAAGAAATAATATCGTTAACTAGAATATCTATTTACTATTTATATTATGTATTTTTACTATTTACATGGTGCTGTGAGCAGCCGATATTATAACAGAAATATTTATATTGAAACCTTAAATTAAAATAATATATATTTTATTATATGCTGTGTTAAATCATAGTGCTGTGTAAAAATATTAATGTGAAATGCTTTTACAATAACAACAAAATAATAATCTAAGAAATTGACACGTTGACGTACACATTTAAACACGTTTTTCTTTCTTCTGTCAATATCTCAGTTTAACCACTAGGTGGAAGTGTCGTTTTACTTATGACAACACGTTCTTCCTGTCAGAAATGACATCACTTCTCTTCATAGCGACGCTGTCGGTGCTAAATGCTAACACTGCTCATGTCAGTGGTTTGACAACGACAACGACCGGTGACGGGAGTCAAACTGGTTCAGACCAGATCAGTCTGTTTCTAAACTCGACATTAACCACGAATTCTGGCAGAAAGATTTTAATTAACATTTCTGAATACAAAATATTTGATAGAGATATTTATTAAAATGTAGCTTTACTCTACTTTCACAAGTATTTTAGGGGTAGTAAAGATATCTGTATACATCCGTTTTAACCGGAGATAATCGGTTAGCATCAATGCTAAATGTCAGGTAAGAAGAAATATTTTGCTAAAAAATGCAAAAATATAACTTTGTGTTTTTATGTGTTTTTAAATACCTAAAAAACAACAATTTTACAATTTTAACACGGACAAGAGAGTAAGTAAAAAAGCTACAACAGAAATGGCCTCAGTGATGTATTCAAATAAATAAAAGCTATATTTATTATAACTATTTGTTAAGTTTTGACATATTTATATTCAGTTTTTGCTCATCTTGTATTTATATCTTTATATTTAACCAAAGCAGAGAGTTTTGGCTAGATTTGGATTATTTTTGCACCACTATTAATGTCCTAAAGTATATATCATGTATTTTAAGATAAAAAAAAATCCTGAAATGTGCACAGAAATATGATATGAATTATAAATAAAGGAAAATATATAAACGTAGATTTCAAAGTAGAGTTGTTACAGGAAATTGAATCTGGATGAGGATAAACCCAAATATCTTCCTGAAAAATGCAGCATTACGGTCTTGAATTTTGGCTTGATCTTTTCTGAGCTGATCTACGGTGTGTTTTGAAGGCGCAGGATAAGCCGTTCATTTCATTATCGTCCCATTCTTTGTGTGTTGACGGCGAACAGAACAAGCCAGTGAGGGAGGAGCGGCGGGCGGGGGAGCAGCCTGACGTGAATGGCAGGTGAGGGGATGTTTGACTTTCAAATCACTGAGGCATCTTTTCTATTAACCCAGTGTGTAAATAAATAACAGAATTCATTTTTCAGGCCATGCACTGACAGTTGTCAGGAAGATCAAACAGGACCTTCAGGTGCCACGCCGGAGACTGCGGGTGAAAATAAAAAAAAGCTCAGGTAGATGAAAGGTGTTGACACTGTGAGTGAGCCACAAAAAAATAAAGAGACAAATGTCAGATCCTCGGGAACAATTTCTGAGAGAACGGCTGGGTTTGGAAGGAGCAGGAACCTGAGGGTGGAGTTTCAGGAGACGCTTCTCTTTCCACTGGAATCAATTAAAATAAAAGCTCTTACAGTCTGTGCTGAATGTGCCACGAGCGCCCCCTGCTGCTCTAAACTACCACCAGAAATTAGAAGTTTATACACCAGCGGCCCGTATTATGTCAGAGAGAGGAAATACCAGCGATGAAGGATGTGGTCGTGTTAACGTTATTAAAACAATATAAGACTCTGCTGCGCTGGGTTAGCACCAACAGTTAGCACCAACAGTTAGCACCCACCCCCTCAGGACATCGCAGATTTTATTTTTTAATCTGATCTCGTGTATTGTTTGCTATATCGTGACATATAGCAAACAATAAGCCAAAGGACATTTTAAAATTATAGGAAACGTACAAAAGGTTTGTCTTAAAAATGTGGATTCTGGTTTTGAAATTTAGATGAGTTTATTTGGGAACGACCACTGGTAGCTTTATTTACCCAGACCAGATCGTACTATTGGCTAATGGAGCATGCTCCTCTGTTCCTCATTATTTTATATTTAAATGAGCTTTTTTAAACTCCTGTTATTGATTAACATGTTTTTATTTATTTATTGTTAACTCTGGGTCTGTTACTCCAACAATTAGATTTTTGATCATTTGTTTTGATTTCACACACCCTTAATAATCATTTGGTTAAGACTTAACTATTAACTCTAATCTTTAGCTAGTTTTACTATTTACTACCTGTCTTTTACTTTAACCATTAGTTGTTTATGCCTCTTAGTTTTGTCAATTTAAATCAATTAATTCTATCTTTTTCCAAACTAAATAACTTTTTATTGTTTGTTTTTGATTGATTTTAGGCTTCATTTACATTTGTTGACTTGGCCAATTTTAGTGATTGTTTTTTTTTTTTAAACCTACATTTTGATCATTGTTCATGATTTGATTTGAACCGTTTTTCTTTCCAACTCAGCCGTTCTTTCAGTCTCGTTACCATCGTTACCTGTGCTGTAGTTTCCACTGTTGGTGATTCCTGTGAAAACTTAGTTTGAGCAACAATGTTGTTCACGTTGTTGACGTCGTT